CCCCCAGGCTGAGGCCCTGGTGCGCACGCACCGGCTGCACCAGCGGTAGTTCCGCCACTGCTAGTACGTGATTTTGTGACTGTTATTAAAGTTTCATTACACCAATATTACTTGCATTCAGCTTATCATTAGGATCTGCTTCTTCCTAGGACCAACATGGAGATATGTAGAATGGGGGTAGTTATACCAGTTATCAACCCATACATAAAACACATGCTATGTCTGTAGTCTAGGTACAGGCGGGTCCCTCTGTGATTTGCAGAACTCAAAACTACCGCCAGTCTGCCATGGTTTCTACATGAGCTTAGGTTTTTTGAGACTCGAGATTATTCAACTGACATCAGGTTATAATTAAAGTTCAGTTTATGTCTCTCTAGCATTACAGTAGCAAAGAGATAGAGATGAATACATTGTTTTCTCCAAACCCAGAATTGCAGTAACAGGAATGATCTGTGGTGATCAGTTTTTTGCTGCAGATTGCAGTATTTTGGAGCCCTTCTAAGTTTACTTCTTCAATGCAAAGCATTTTGTGTTTTCCCCTTTTAGCTATGCTCAAGACTCTCACTCTCTCTGGCTAACTTCTGGTTAGCAAGTAAATGGAACAGTGGGTTATGGTGCACTTTAAAAATAAGATGACATAGGGGTTTATGAGTATGCACCAAATCCAAAGTCTAGATGGGAGCAGTTATGCAGAGTCTATGCACATAATAATTATAATAATTCAAAATAACTCATGCACTTATTGACCAGAGGTATGTAGGATATACAGGACAGGGGACCCATGTTCATGAAGGGGGGATCTACACACCAAAAGAGTGTGCAATGTATGGAAGTGGACTGGTAAGTAGACCACAGGAGCATGCAACCATTTCACGGTTAACTGGTGATCCACAGCAGATAATCTAATCAGCTATTCAAAGTTAACCTCTACAAAGAACCCAGTTTAGATGCTGTAAGGTTTGTTAGGTACGAATAAAAATATTTCTTAAGTTTTAGTATAGTTGGTTATTTACTGTAAGTCCATTTAATTTAATTAACATTCAATTACTAAAAATTCTAGATCACTAAAATTATAGCTATTTTGCAGAATGCACTCGTCATTTTTTTAAAATTAAAGTGTGGCTATAATCTATAGTTCCTTGGGATTTTATTCAGCTCCCTGTGCTGACTAATAATTATAACTTGGAAGTCATAATCATTCCTTTTGGAAGGTGACAATTTGAACTCTACAATAACCAAGTATTATTCCCACAAGGAGGTGTTACTATATGACTCGTCTGTTATAAATACATCTGACAGATGAACTTCTCACTGCACTGTAGTAGATTACATAATAGCAGAATCTGAAGAAAATTCAATCAATCTTACCTGAATTGGTATCTGAAAATTGTTATAAGTTAGTTGGGAGAATCTAACTTTGTGACAAATGGGAGTGCCAGGTATCAAAACAATGTTTAGAAACACACTAATTCTGTTACTATTTTGTGAAAGTACATGTCAAACTGTGAAATTTGGCTGCAGACCAGGTACAACCTATCCACAAAGGCCCTTCTACATGAGTGGTGATATATTTATAGGAGGGCTGTTTGATATACATATTTATTATAAAACAGAAGCCTTTAATTATTCCAGTCCTCCACATCTTCAGACACGAAAGATAAGGTTAGTATGGCCTTCATTTTATGTCCTCCATATTTGCATTAACATATTTGTGCAAATAAATATTTACAAGTGAAAAACTAATTTTGAACCACACAAATTAATATTTGAACACATTAAGATTAATATGTCATTCCATATATTTAAATGTTTTAATTATATGGACACATTAGTTATCTTAGCAATTACACTAATTATCTAAAAACACATAAAAAGTGTCATAAGGACAGTATAATAAAACTTGCATTCTCACACCCAAATAAACATAACACGACATAAAACATAAGGATCCTTATTTTTAGAAACAAGTAAGAATATTTTTTTAGCTGTGTCCAATAAGATTTGAAAATTACAGTCACATAGCTGATTATTTTAGTTTGAAGGTGAGTGAATTTGAGCCTATTGTATCTATCACATATTTGCTTGTTTGGCCATCTAATGCTACAATAAGTATGTTCACTTATCTTAATTTGAATAAAATGTAATACCTTTAAAATTAAGTTTAGTTTTTGGAAACAAATCCTAGTACCATGTAATTGTTAATCCCATATTAACTATTATACTAGATACATCTTTATTGTTGTTTATATGTGTGCTATTGTTGTACACATTTTAAATTCTGTTCCTTTCATGCATTTCTATGGCATTACAAAATTATTACAACACTCTTCAGTTCAATATTGTGTCTATATGTAAACTGAAAAGAGAAACATTTGCACCACCTAGTGTCATAAAGCTGAGGTAATTCTATAAGTCTCTGCTATACGTAATTAAAATATGTGCTATATTACACTCTAGGCAGCCATGTTCAAGACTTTTAATTTAGTAGAGATAGAAAACATATGCATCAAATTTGCATAGAAAACAAATATTTTCAGGAGTACAATGTTATGACTAGGAATCCATACAACTGTCCAAAAATTGTTATTCTTGCTTCTTTGACTTTGTTTTTATTGTTTATATGTCTATGAATTTAAAGCTGACTATTACCTTAAATCATGCCTCTTAATCCGATTATCTTCTTTTATAGTGTAGTTTTCAGATGTCCTTCCAGCGCTGGTGCGGGTCTCCGATCCAGCACTGACTCATCTGTCCTCCTCTCCTCTGACGTCCCACGGAGTCTGTTCGGGTGCACGCTGCTCCATAGACTTACCTTGTGTCTCTCCTCGTCTCCCCGGCCGAACATCTGAAGTTCGCATGCGCCTGCCCCAAGATCCTTTGCGGCCGCCCAAGACTCTTCAGTTGTTCGGACGGGAGCGTTTGGCAAAGATACAGGTACGTTTAAACCTGTTTCAAAAGGTTTTTTTTTTTTTTTTCTAAGTTCTTGCATATATATTTACTGCTCGCTGGCAGTAGATATATGCAAAAAACACACTGAGGGTTTAATAACCCTTTAAATGACCCATAGCTTAGGCTTTACTTGAAGCCAAAACACTGGCTCTTTTTTTAAGGCTGTATTAACATTAGATGAGTTGGGGCTGCACTGGCCACTTTTTCCAACACAACTACAACACAAGACACGGCAGTTTGCCTTGTTTTAAACAGGCTCAGTTCATACCACCACGTTGCAGTGTTGTGTGTTGAAAAAAGAACTGGACAAGGTACTTTTTTTCAGTGCAGCTGGCCGTGACGTGGTACAACTGCATCTCATTGTGCTGTGCTCATAGAACCTAATGAAATATCACTCATGACATTTCCAAAAAGTTCTAACAAAAAAAGTAAACAGTGCTATGCACCAAAATCAGTGAATCATCACTGTGTCTGTCAAAGCACACCAGCAGCTGTGCATTGTAGCGCAGCTGCTGGTGTGAATTGACCCTAGGAGATGAACCATTATACAATATGTGTAATTGTTATAAGAGAGTATTATAAAAGATATGACTCTCAGTCTGCAATGCAACTGTCTTGAAAGATCCCTCCTGCTCTGCTCATGATTCCTAAGACAACTGTTTATAATGTCTAATGTCTTTTAAGCATAATTTATATAATTAAAATCATAGGAAGTAAAAGAGGAATACATCTGTACTGTTCTAATTATAAGCCCTTAGCTATTTCTATTCTTTTTTTGTATAAAATTGTATGAAATCTTTATGAAATCTAAAACCCAATCGCCAAAATCTCAAATATGCTTTAACATGTAATAAAAAGGATTTTAAAAATATTTTTAAAGCTGCAAATAAAACCTGGTGATTATGCCATTAAGGTCCATGTTCAGGCACGTCCCAATACAGGTTAACAATGCCCAATCCCTGCCTCCCAATTATGCTCCTGTGCTGTCACCTTGTCACATGAACTTTCAGTGGAGACTACAAGTGACCATTTCAACACACATTACAGTCCACTGTTGTCACCATCTGGGAACCATCCCTGACAAATGCCTCACAGCCATCACTAGAGGACATAAGGACTGTAAGTGGCTGTATAGAGGCTGCTGGAGATGCAACAAAGTATGAAAAAAGGTGAAAACATCACCTTTTTCCGTTGGCACATGTAAGTATACTTACATGTGCTATGGACTAATGTCTTTATTCAACCTCAAATACTATGTAACTATGTAACAAGTCTTTAATAAAACAAATGGCAATTATTTATGATGCACAGTGCTATAACAAACTAAATGTCAATGAATTTGGGTTTACATCTGCTTTAATGCTAAAATGTTCTGCTAAAAAGCTGTGAATGCAAATAAAAACAATGAAAGAAATTTCAAAGAACATCTTTACATAAAAAACATTACTAAGCTGTATAGTAGAAACCAATGTTCTCACTTCATCACTTCTAGTTGGGTTTTTGTTAATTTAATTGTATTTAATTCCAAATTTCAGTATGCTGCTTGAAGACTTCTACAACTTCCTAAGCTTGGTGTTTGCTGTGGATGAAATCAACCACAACCCTAACATATTGCCAAATGTAACTTTGGGCTATAATACATATGACTCCTATGTTGACCTCTTTAGAACTGTCCAAGGTGCTGTTCGCATTTATTCAGGAAACACAAAGCAATTTCCTAATTACAATTGTGACCAATATGGGGTTCTTGCTGCTGTCATTGAAGGGATGTCATCTAGCTTTTCAATACAATATGCCAATATATTTGGAATGTATAAATACCCACAGGTATGGTATCCTTTATTTTTGCCTTATATTACCTGTAGCTGTGTATAGCTTCCTGGTGTACTACAGTGTTGTACCGTGATAGCCATTTGTAGAAGCCGGAGTGTAAAGAGTGAAATTATGTATTTTCTTGAGTAATCAAAAGGAATACAATATCATGGGTTTTCAAGCCAAATAGTTTTTATTAATTTATACATATGAACACAGGGATACCAGTTTTACAACCATATATATAAAAAACTAAGCAGATATAGATCAATCTCCCAGAATGAATACTACTAAAAGTGTAAAACTCCATAAAAATAAAGTTATAATTTAACTCTTTATTGGTTACTGGAGAAAGCAAATATTAGCTATTGGCTATGTGGCATATATAAATTCTGCTGTGATTAAGCGATACAGTCTCCAGCAAAATCTTTAGCTTTCAACTCTTCTAGGAGTGTGTCCCCTGCGACTGTGGTTCCTCCCACTGCATTATGTATTACGGCTTCTATGTCACTACAGGACACACTAGTGATATAGGGGTGGGAGGAAAGAACCATTGAGTGTAACAGTGAACCAAGCATCCAACACTTTTGGAAGTACCGGTATGTTGAAAGTAAAGCTTAAGTGAAGCTAGTTCACTTGAGCACAGTGGAGGTCAAATTTGTTACCCCCCAACCCCCCCAGAGAGGTAAATATTTGCAGTCTATAATTGCATGGACCATGCTGTAGTGTTTTTTGGAATGTTGATGAATCACTTTAAATATAATCAATATGGTTTATCTTAGGAAGGTAAATAATGGCGCTATATAAGCGCTGCACAAACTGTTGGCGCTATATAAATCCTGTATAATAATAATAATAATAATTATCATACTGGCATATTTTATAGATAAGTTTCATGTCCCAAGAACCTCTTCAGAGCAACAAACAGAACTTCCCAAATTTCTACCGTACAGTACCCAGTGAGAAGGCCCTATATGTCGCTATACTAGCCTTACTAAAGCACTTTGGCTGGATGTGGGTTGGTATTATATATGATGATGATGATAGCAGCATAAATGCTATAAGGATTATCAAAAACATGATTGTAGAAAGTGGGGGATGCATTGAATTTGTTAAACTAGTACCGGCCATTAATGACTACAGCCCTAACAGGATCAAAGACATAGAGCAAACCATTGCCCAATCAACTGCAAATGTTATTCTTGTGTATGGCTCAAAAAATTATGTGTACTATCTGGAATTAAATGTTCACATTACCAGCATACCTGGGAAAGTTTGGATACATACTGCCGATTCCAGCTTCCGAATGTTCAACTACGAAAATGACACTTGGCAAAGTGTTAATGGATCTTTAAGATTCATCTTGCAAAAAAATGAAAATCCCAAATTCATAAAATTTGTCAAGGAGGTTAATCCAAGTCGATTCCCACCAGGACGAACCTTTACAACATGGTGGGATGAACTATGTGAAAGCCGATGTCCTTTCAATCCAAGAAGACGGAACTGCACAGGTGTGGAGAGTGGAAGGCAAATCATGTTTTCACACTGTAACCTTAGGTTCACTGGCATGAGTTATATTGTATACAACTCTGTATATACTGTAGCTTATGCATTACATGAAATGTATCAAGAAACACAATTAAGTGAAAGACTGAAAGATAACATGAAATTAAAATTTCAAGATTTAAAAGGCTGGAAGGTAAGAGAAAAGTAATTTGATGTTACCTATCAAAACCTTGCTAAAAAGATTTTCCTTTTTACAAAACATTACAATGACATTTAGTAGGGACATCCTGTCTGCAATTTCCTTATCTTCAGTTTTGGGACACACCAGGCCAACAGCATATATAATAGAATACAAAAGCTATTAAAAGCCTCTCCTCTCTCTTTTTACAACATTATCCCCCAAAAAGTCAGTTTATTGACACTAGACAACATACTAACACAGAGCAGAATATCAGAAACACTGCATTACTGGTAAATTAGTGCCTGTGATCTTTTTTCATAACTCTTTGTAAAAGCCAAGTAAATAAATGTCTCCTTTATCACGAAAAGTAGTGATACAATATAACCTAGCTTAGTTGAATAAGGTTATTTGCTCTAGAGGAGGGTGATTACTGCAATTTATTTTTGGATGTCATGGTGGTACAGCTTTAAAGGAGTCTGTATGTTTAAAATTATAGTGGCATGTGCATGATTGTGGTAGAAATACCAGCTTATGCTCTGCCATGGCAAGTGAAGTCATAAACGGTGTGGTGGTAATGAACTTTGAAAAAATATTTTTGAATAAGCCAGTGTTTTTATGAGTATGGGAAATAAATAATACCTTCTGTTCATATAGAATCCAATATTCTTATATTATGATGAAAATAAGACTGTTAGGTAATTATGTGATGGGTAGATAGTAGGTTACTATACTAAAGCACAAATGGGGATGCTTTTTCAAAAAGGAGAAACATTTCTTTAACCTTTTCACTGCCAAGGTGTTTTTTTTGTGGGTTTTTTGCACACATGTTATAATCCACATTTTAGGCCTGAAAATTACTTAAAACCCCCATGAGTTATATATTTCCTTTAAGCACAGACCCTGTTGAATAAAATGTCAGCAGTTACAAATTATTACGTTGCATGATATTAGACCAAATCTTTATCAAATCCAGAATTTCAGCAAAACTTACACTTAAGTTCATTTTAGTGCACAAAAACACAATATAATACCCATTTTTTGTAAAATATAAAAAATCAGGTTGTGCTGAGTAAATGGATACACCACATGCCCAGATTAGAAATTGCGTGCACCCATGAAACGGCGACAAACTACGGTACCCCAAATTGTCCATAGGCAACACTTTAAAAGCTTATACAGGTCATCAGTTTAAAGTTTCACTGTGAATATTGGCCCTAGAATTATTGCTCTCACTCTAACACATGCAGAAATACCCTACATGTGTAGAGCAATCATCGTTTTCATTCGTAGGTGCAGCGACGGGCAGTTACGTTAGTATGCACTCGTTCACAGGTGTGGGGGACTTTAACTTTTATGGGTATTTTTACATTTATTTTATTTAACTTTATTTTTTTTTAACTTTATTTTTTAACTTAACTTGATTGTTATCACATAGGAGGCTCACAAACCCCCTATGTGACAGCTTATTAGTGGTGACGGGTTCTCTTTGAGGTGACTTTAGGGGTCTATTACCTTTCCAGCTGAGGAGCCGAAAGTGATGCTTCTGGCTTCATTCAGCAGGGAGGAGAATGGATGTTCGCTGGTCTCTCGCCCTGTCTCCTGCCGAGATCCGTGATGCCGGTCCTGGGCCTGCAGGGGGGGCAGCGGAGCAGTGTCCCCATTTACCAGCCCCTGGAAGCAATCTGGCAGCAGCTCAGCCAATAGATTAGCTTCCAGTGTAAAGCTGACAGTTGACTTTACACAGATAAACAGGGTCCCGGCGGCTATAGCCATCACTGTAAGGGATATGGTGCTGGCAGGAAAAGGGTTAACCATTAACGTCAGCCAAAGTACCGCAGCGCTGAACACTGAAAAATGGCCTGGCCAGGAAGGGGGTGAAACACTGCGGTCTTCAAGTGGTTAAAGGTATTATTTTATTGTATTATTGTTGTTTGTGCGAGAGTCCACTGCACTGGATATTATTTATCTTTTACAGCTACATAAATACATAAAAAGAGTTAATTTTACAAACACACTGGGACAAGACATCTATTTTAATGATGGAGAAATATCCATTGGGTATGATATATATAATGTGATCCATTATCCAAACTGGACAAGAAATTCACAAAAAGTTGGGAGTTTTTACTTGCATGCTCCACCTGGGAGACAAATCATTCTAAATCAAGATGCAGTAGTCTGGGAAAACAAGTTTGCCAAGGTTAGTCTTTTTCATTGTGATAAATATTACTTTTATGATCTTTATTATTATCTGGTTTGATGGAACAGTAAGAAATTCAGTTAATACAGAGAAGGAGTTCCCCCCAGCAACTAACCAGACTGCAGACTGAGCTATGAAGCCCGCCTCCAACAATTAAACTTATTCTCCTTAGAAAAGAGGCGCTTAAGAGGAGAGCTTATTGCAGTCTTAAAAATCATCAATGAGGACCACAATATTCAGAACAAGTTGTTTTCACAGAGAACAGTATTGAAAACACGCGGACACACTAAGAGTTTATAAGTGAGGCGGTTCAATCTTAGAACACGCAAGGGTTTTTTTCTACTGTGCGAGTAGTAAAAACATGGAATTCCCTTCCACAGGCAAAGGTATCCACTGAATGCGTAAATAAGTTTAAGAAACTTCTAGATAAGTTCCTTCAGTCACTAAATATATAAGAATATAGGAAGTGT